GCTGGGCACTGAATGGGCTGGGAATCAATGACTTTTGAAATGTGCAGTTTCCAGTGAAAGGGAAGCCCGCACTAGAAGACCAGCAGGGTTGGCAGGTCAGGATGGAGGAATATCAGCAGCGACGTGGAAGGAGTCCCAAAGACTAGAAGAGTTTGGAAAGTGGCAGATCAGGATTGAAGGGCACAGGAGAGCCCAGGGGGTGGAGTGGTGAGGGGCACTGGAGGATTTTGACGGGGGATCCCACTTCTGGAATAGCAAGGGGGCTGCAGGCCAGAGCCAGGGTGCATCAGCACAGCTGTGTGTCGGAGCTGGAAAAGTTGGGGCGCTCGAGGACTGGATCGTGGAGCATTAGCAGAGGTGGGTGGGTGTGCTTGCACAGTGCACAAAAAGCAGCTGCACTTCACCGGCCAGCTCCACCACTCCCATGCTCACTGTCAACAGCTTCACCCCTCAGTAACACCTTAATGAAGAATGCAGGTCACTGTGGAGCAGCAGAGGCCTCAAATCCAACCCACTGTCAAGCTGTTCTAATGTGGGGGGAATGTGTGCCCACGTGACTTGAAGGACCACATACTCCCCAGGGAATTCTCTAGGGTTGCACAGGGCGACACGGAACAGAAGGATGTTTGTTTGCATAAGGCACAGTACTGGTACCTAGGAGCTCTGCACTGGATGCTTGGTTCTATTGCAGACGTCCTGTGTCACCTCCTCACTTCTCTCGGTGTCTCAGGTTACCCAGCTGTAAAATGGGTATAATGATTCTTCCTTTCTCCAGCCCTTTGACTGTGTTATGTATTTTGATGGTAAACCCTTTCGGGAGCGGGGGGGGGAGGGAGGATTGACTCTTCCTATGGGTATGGACAGCTCATCAGAGAGCCCTGATCTTGGTTGGGGTCTCTACGTGCTACCGTCATACAAACAGTTTATAACAGCAAAATAGAATTTGGCTCCAAACGATTGAAGGAAAGAGGGAGAACAAGCTCTCTTTCTCCTTTCAGTTCCAGGATCTCTCAGGATAGTTTTTTCATATAAAGCTGGAGTATTGTTTGTCATTCTAGTCCAGGGGTGGATATTTTCCAGGGGGGAAGCTCGGGAGGGGGGGATGGACTCCAGGGGAACAATGAAGAAGGCCCAGAGGTCCAGGTGATTCTTCCTCAAGGCCCTTATCCCTGCATTCCTACATCCTCTCAGGTGGGCGCCGCCGCGGTTCCGCCTTGCCCCGACGAACGGGTTGTCCCTTGACTGACAGGAATTCTCTGACTCTTGAAGCATCTCGTGGGCAGCACGGGGCTTAGCAGCGTTACTTGAAGCACCATATACGGCACACGCAGTTCCTGTACCCGAGATGCCAGCGCTGTGCTACCCAGGTGAGCCATGCAGAGGGAAATGGAGTGAGAGTGGGTAGGCGGGAAATGGAGTGAGAGTGGGTAGGCGGATCACAGCGAGGCCTTCCCCCGGCACGTCCCACCTGCCCTGCCGCCGAATCGCTGAAAGCCTCAGTGGCTTTCCAGGGGCCCTGCATTCAATCACACAGCCCAGAAAGCATCTTCCAACATGTACCCCAGAGCAAGTCAGCACCGGGACAGAGAGAGAACAAAGTCCAAGAGACAGACAGACAGCCCCAGATGGACACACACGTGCACAAAGGCCCAAAGAGGAGAGTGGGAAAGGATGGAGAGATGAAACAGAACGAACACAGGCCCCGGGAGAAAACATTTCAAAGCGTAATTAAAAACGAAAACTGGGTCTTTCCCTCAGGTCTGTGGCACTGCTCTGTGATTAATAAGAGGAGCCTCGGGAAGACCTGGGCTCTAGGCTAAGTGCCTGGCTTTCTGGGGTAGGCAGGAATTCCTTGGGTGGTGCAGAGCGCCCCTGCTCTCTAAGCAGAGAACAACAGAGCCTAGCAAAGGGCAAAGCCTTCCCGAAGCTGATGCTGTAATTCGGGATCTGCCTCTTCCCTTTAAAAACTTGCTTTTCAGGGGCAGAGAGAAGTAGATGGGAAACCACATGGCATTATATATAGAGAGAGAGTCTCCTCCGTGCAGGGGTTCAGCACAGGACGCAGAGGAAAGAAGCAACAAAGGGGTTAATGACGCAGCACCTCTTACACGGCAGCTGTCTTGTCCCTGTGTCCTGAACATGTGAGGCCACCGATAAACAAACACAGAGAGGAAATTAAACACCAAGGCCACGCCACAATATTGACAGCGGGGGGCATGTTTCACAGTGTCTGCAGACCAAGCTGCTTGACTCCTGGGGTGTCTCTAAACTACATGGTTCCATCAATGGAGCCATGTAGATTAGGCTGATCGGCAAAGGGAAATGAAACCACAATTTAAATAATCGCCGCTTCATTTAAATTTAAATGGCTGCCACGCTGAGCCGACAAACAGCTAATCAGCTGTTTGTCGGCTCAGCGCGCTAGTCTGGATGCTCCCGCATCGACCTGAAAGCCCTTTATCGACCTCCCCGTTATGCCAAGTAGGATGAGGTTTACCGGGGAGGTCGATAAAGGGTTTTCAGGTCGACAGGGGAGCGTCCAGACTGTCCCGATCTGCCAAGAAATAATGATCGGCTGAGCGGGGCAGCCATTTAAATTTAAATGAAGCTGCTATTATTTAAATCGCGGCTTCATTTCCCTTTGCCGAACAAACAAATCTACATGGCTCCATCGACGGAGCCATGTCGTCTAGACGTACCCCTGCTGGCTTTACTGGTAGTTGCATGGCTCACTCCCTGTATATCTGGCTGACAGAGTCTCCGGAGAAGAGGAAACCGTGAGTCCCAGCAGGTGCCCAGTTCCTTGACCAACAGGCCTGCTGCTTCTCAGCCTTTGCCCTGCAGCAGCAGAGGTAATGCTGCGACAGAGGGTCTGACCTTTGACCCCGAGTGTGGGCACTGTTGTGAGGTCACCACCAGACAAATCTGGAATTCTGCAATGTGTGGCTATGGGGTCTAACAGTCACTGAGATTTGATTTTGCTTTCTTCCCTGACTTCGACACCCAGCACACATTTTCTGGACCTGACAGCATCTTGGAACGCATCCCCAGTGTGGCTGAGCTGCTGTGGTTTTCACCTTTCACCCTAGGGCAAAGTAGGCTTCAGATGAGAATCATCTATCTGCCACTGTTGGCAGACGGATGTTGAGATCTATGCAGAACCGAATTCTAGGCTGGTTTAATGCAACCCACTTTCATAGCTTTAGTGCCCTGAAAGATCCTCTCCATACATCTGACCAGGACTTTGGAACAAGTTGAGACAGCCCTTGAAGAATCCATCCCTGATTTCATATGACACCCAGTTTATTCTGGGACAGGATATCTGGGAACATTTGTTAATCTCCAACAAAACCCTGGGGACCTGGCTGGTGCAAAACAAAGAATTTGCCAGATCACGAGAGGTCAATATTGTCTAGCAGCATGACCAACACTTCCCCTGCTTACTGGGCTCTTAGGAGACAATTAGAGGTAAATTCGAGCTAAATAACAGCACAGAACACTGACAGCCAAGACTGTTGGCTGCAAACAAACTTTATGGAACCACAGGAAACTTGACCACATCCATGCTAAGTGGACTGCTGGCTAATTAATCATGCCAGAACATGGATGTTGCTGGACTAGAGAGTGCTGGAGTAGAGAGGTTCAACCTGTACTTCTTTACCTTGATAATACTGACCCAGATTTTCAGACACACCCCAACCTGACCGGCAATTTTGCACAGACAGTCTTGCACAGCCTGTGAGACAATCCATGCAGATGGCATATTGAGGCAGCAAAATGCAAGTGTCAGTGTGTGGGGGGAGGCGCAAAATGGCCCCGAGAAGCCAGGGACTGAAAATCAGAGGGACTTGGTCTACGCTACAGTGTTTTTGTGCAAACGCAGATTGTCCACACTTCAAACGCGTTTTTGCGCAAATAAAATGAAAGAACAGAGGGGGTTTCTGGCGTAGGTATTCCGCATTCTACGAAGAATAACTCCTTTTTGAGAAAGAGTTCTTTCACAAAACGGTGTGCGTGGACGGGCAAGAGGGGGTTTTTTGTGCAAGAAGAGGGAAGAAGAAGCAGCACAGGTGCCCATTCTGTCCATAGCAATCACTGCTTACTTGCAATAGAGCATCCAGGCAGTCTGGACGCTCTCTTGCACAAAAGCGCATTGCTGTTTCAATGCACTTTTGCAGTGTGGACGCTCTCTTGGGCAAGAAGTTTTTGCAGAAAATCTCTCCTGCAAAAAACTTCTTGCGCAAGAAGCCTGTAGTCTAGACATAGCCATGCACTGAGTTTTGTGGCCTAACCCTCAGTCCTTGTCCCCACTCCCATCTTCTGTTCTATGTAGCTGATTCGTTAGTTTGTAATTTGTTTACTTTTTTCATTGTACCCCTCTGTTATAGAATGGTCATGCCAATTCGCTTTCAGATTATGATCTGAAGAAGTGGGTCTGCCCCACGAAAGCTCGTCACCTAATAAACGATCTTGTTACTCTTTAAAGTGCTACACGACTACTTTTTTTGTTTGACCAAGATCAGACTAACACGGCTACCTCTCTGTGACTTTCCTTAAACCTAAATACCCAAGTGGGTTTTGCCTGCATTTCGATTGAAGACCTGAGCAAATTAAAGGGCCCCACTCTACAAACACACTGGTTCAGACGGGTGGGGCCTTAACTGGATGCTTTGAGTAAAGTAGCACAATCAGCTGATCCCATTGGTGCAAAGTCCAGCCCAAGATGGGAGTTGCCCTCTTGAGGCCCCTTCCAGTCCTAGTATTCTATGATTCTATGACACCGAGCAGCTCAGACTGGGACTATCAGACCTGGAGAGCCAGAGAGAACCAAAGCTTCTGTCTGTGTCCGGCAGCCCCAGTAAAGGATTCTCTTTCTATTCATTACAGCCAAACCTTAGGAGGCCATCGTGTCCAGGGTCCCAGCAACATGGTGGGCTCTCTGCTACTTTGCCGGCCAACGTCACCCCCCCACCGCCCGCCAGCTCCCCGTCACGCCTTACCTGGAGGCCGCGATCTCCGCTTTCTGCTTGGCGATGGTGGCTGCCCGCTCCGCCGCCTCGACGGCCCGGTCCACCTTCTCGCGGATCTTGCTGACCCTCAGCGGGATGAGGTTCTTCCGCTTGCCGCTCACCAGCACGTTCTGCTTGTACTTCCCCTCCTCCTTGGTGCCGTCCGGGAAGGTCATGCAGCCGTAGCCGTGCCGCTTGTTGCTGGCCCACTCCCCCTCGTACTTCAGCCCGTCCGAGCGCTGGCTGACCCCGAAGCCCGAGCGCTTGTCGCTCTTCCACTCGCCCACGTAGACCTCCGTGGTGGTGGCGTCGATGTCATCCTCGATGACCGACAGCTCGGCCTCGCCCTCACCCAAGCTGATGGTGGAGTTGATGTCGCTGGCGGTGGAGCTGACCGTGCTCAGGCCCGCCTCGCTCCGGAAGGAGCTCTGCTTGCTGCGCTGGCTGGCCAGGGAGCTCTTGGACTCAGACTTGCGCAGCTTCAGCCCGCTCAGCAAGGACCGCCGGAAGATCCCCTTCTTCTTGCTCTTGAGGATCTCGGCGTCGCTGTGGGCCACGAGGACGAAGCCGCCCCGGGAGACAGCGGGGCTGCCGGCTACTGCGGGCGAGGCGTCGGGGTGCAGCGCCGTGCCGTTGGTGTGCTCGCTGCGCAGCGAGTTAATGGACGTCCTCAGGGGCGACCTGATAACCGCAGCCATGCCATAGGGGACGCTCTGCCGGACGCCGTAGCCTTGGCGCATGCCGCCGGCCCACTGGCCCTGGTACGTCCCTGTAAGCAGAGATGCCGGAGGGGGGGGGAAAAACAAAGAGCTTGATTTACGCACTGCTCAGAGTCCTGCAATATCAAGCCACTCAGTATTGGGAGGGTGGGAGATCCCAATCCAATCCACCCCCAGCCCTGGAGGTGTTCTTAGTCCAGGCCCAGTTCTATTACCGGGGGCAGCCACTGTGCTGGGGGAAGGAGGAAGAAATAGCTCTGCAAGATTCCAGGAATGCATTTTAGCCCGGAAATAGGAAGCAGCTAAAGCATCGCATCCCATGGGCCTATTATTCCAGGAACTGCCTATCACAATGGCCCTCAACTGTAAGGAAAGAGAGCAGGGAGACAGAGCTTGGGAACTGCTACCCTAGAACAGACTAAAAACCCATCTATTTTGGTCGCCGGCCTCCCACAGCCATCAAAGCTGGCTGGTACATTACAAAAGGTTTCTTTCTATACAGAGCGCTTCCCATCCGAAGAGCAGCAGAAAGAAGCAGCAATCGAGAAAAAAAGGCTCCATGTCTAGAGACCCGACTACATATTACAACAGAAATGTCCACCTGCACTCCGACACGTGCAGGAGCATTTACCCGGATTATTTTACAGATATTTAGGAGGTCTCCATGGGCTCTTGCAATCTCGTGGGTGCAAAAGCGTGTGCAGTTTTAAAGGCCTCTGTTTAAAAGTCTGAGCTATAAGGAACAGTCTATGGGAAGGTGTAACATCCTATTACATTTGTAAGCATGCAATACATGCCTCTGGAGGGTACTGTCCTCCTGGCATTCATGGCCTGAACTTCTAGGAGCAACATCCTTTGTAATTTTATCACAGTCCTCTGAACTGCAGAGCTTGATCTTAATTCTTAGAGTGCTTAATCCTTTCTGGATGATCTGCAAGCCCAAAGCATCCACGCTACCGAGTGTGTAACGCCAACAGGCGGATGTGAACCTAGGACCTCGGGAGCTTAGTGCATGAGCCTCTACTGCTTAAGCTAAAAGCCAGCTGGCTCTTGGCTAAGGCTGCAGAGCAAACTCGTCTTTTCCTCTGTAAGTGATCTGGGTGCTGCTACATGGGAGAGTGAAGTAGTGAACCAGCCCCAGTAGGCGTGTGGGTTACATGTGCAGACGTGTTTATGAACCCAAGGAGACACGCCTTCTTTTGCCAGCCACAAAGGGACGATGCATGCCGGGCAGCAGCAACGGTTTGCTAAGAAGCTACCCACCTTCTCTCAGGCCGCTACCAAGATGCTGCCAAAAGCCTTCTGCCAAGTGTGCCGCTCCCTGCGCTCCTTATAACGGGGTGGGCAATAAATTTTGCAGGGGGGGGACACTTCACAGATTTTGATAGGTGGTCGTGGGCCAGCTCCGGAAGAGGGGTGGGGCTGGTGAGTGTGAGAGAGAAAGGGAGACACTTGGTGTGTTAGAACAAACTTTGGGACACAGACTGAGTGTGGGTGGCACAGAGACGGGAGAGTGTGTGTGGCAGTGATTGCGTGTGTGGGGGGGGCACAGAATAGGTGTGTGTGTGTGACTGACACAGAGTGTGTGTGGCAGTGTTTGCGTGTGTGGGGGGGCACAGAATAGGTGTGTGTGTGTGACTGACACAGAGTGTGTGTATGCTGGCTACGTTTCCGAGAGAAGCCACGCTGTCTCTTTAAAGGAATCTGTCCTGCTCAATCGTCCCCTCTACTCCTGTTCTGCACTCTTCTGAGTCATAGGCTTCAGACTGGAGCAGCTCTGTTGATTGCGTGTCTCCATGTATGATTAGGGTTGCCAGATGGTTTAACCAAAAATACCAAACACCGCCCTCCCTCCCAAAAAAAACCACTGGGGAAAAAATTCTGTTGAGAAAAAAAGGGGGGGGGGGGGGGGAGACCAAATTTGTTAAGCAAAATAAAATAAAATAAAATAAAATAAAAACCCTCTGCGCCTTTAAATGGCTCTGCGCTCCTCACTCCCCCGCCCTTGCCAGACACAGCAGGGAAAAATTGTCCCCACTGGGCTTCAGTCCAAGGGAAACAGGAAATACTGGACATGTAAAATGTCTGGTATTTTCTGGTTTTTTTACCGGACGGGGGATGCGAATACCAGACTGTCTGGGTGAATACCGGACATCTGGCAGCCCTATGTATGATCCCTGCTCTGCAGAGATGGCGTGCAGGAGCAGGGAGACACCCCGACTCCAGCCCTGCCCTCTCCCCTTGGCCTCCCTGCACAACTCACAAGAGAATCCTGGGAGCAGCTGGGCTGTAGGAGGGAGCAAGGTGGGGGAGGGGAAGCTGAACACACCTGGCTGGCTGCAAGTCTGCATCTCTGCTAATCAGCTGGGCCTTCCTGGGGTCCAGAGCATGGGGAGGGGAGGCAGCACTTGGCCCCAGCCTCTCTAGCCCCAAACTTGGCACAGCTGAAGCCGAGGCAGCCCCGGGAGACTGGAGGGAACTAGGTTGAAGCAGAGGGGGCCTGAAGTGGAGCGTGGGCAGGACCAGTCTGGCAGTTTGGGAAGGTGCCTTCCCCTGTCTCAGATACCCACCGCCCAAGCTTTTGCGCCTCCTAAGGCCAAGCCTTACAGTTGTCAGCTCCATTAATTAGTTTTTACATGGGCCTCTCCTTATGTATTTATCTGCCTGAGCTGAAAAAATGGGATGGGGGTCTTTTATTTGCATTGCCTGTTTGCTTTATTTGAGAAGAAAACAAGAAGCCCGACTAGCCCCCAAACCATTCAAAGGGAGATCATTTGAATGTTGGCTCTCCGGAGGACATGGTTTATTTGTATTTGTATCACATTCACATTAGGGATGTAAGGGAGTAGTCCTGATAAGTCTAGGCTTATTGGGTAGTCGAGCTGCTACTCAACTACTCGCTTCCTCCCCCTTGCTGCCTCTGTTTCAGCAAGGGGATGAGAAGCAGGACCCAGTAGTAGGAGGAGCCGGCTTAAAAGCTGGTTCCCCCCAGCATCGTCTCTGTGGTTCAGGGGTGGAGGGCCCAGGAGGGGCAGAGGCGCAGCAGTCTGGGACCCTGGCATGAGCCATGACTGCTCAGTCCCTGCTGGTGCCGGCAGGGCCGGATTGAGGCATGGGCTAGCCGGGCAGCTGCCCGGGGGGCCAACCTATGGGGGGTGCCTGATGACAGCTGTAAGGGTGCACAGCGCCCCTTATAGCTGCCATCAGGCGCCGCGCACCCGGCGCCCAGATCATGGGCTGCATCAGCTCCCAGCGGCCACCCTGCAGCGGTTGCCCAGGGCGGGGGCTGCGTTAACCCCTTAAGCACCGGCCAGCAGCACCCTTGCCCCCGCGGCCGTGGGGCCCGCCCTGGAGGGCCCAGGGTGGGCTGCGCCGGGCACATGCGTCCTGCCACCACCAGCTCCGCACACCCTCCCCTGTGTGCCAGGCAGGGGCGGGGCCGCGCATGCGCCTTCCCCCAACCCGGGGCACAATTAAACTGTCTGCCCGGGGTGCCGGAATGCCTCGGTCCTGCCCTGCATGCCAGGTCCTGAACCTAACTCCACTGCAGCCCTGCATACCCAGCTCCTACTACATTTAAATTGCAGAGCCACAGCGGGGCCCCTTATCAACTAATTGTATAGTTGATACAAACTGTATCGACTACTCCATTAGTCAATTACCCGCTTCATAACATCCTTAATTCACATTGCGCAGAACTCCCGTCCTGGGCTGTAAGGAGCCAGACTGTCCAAGGGATTCAGGCACTTATCAATGTTGCTAGCACCTACATGGTGTTTCAGAGCACCTCAATGTGTTAAATGTCTAGCTGACCTGTCAGCAAAAATACAATCCACATGAATAACAAAAAACAAAACAGGAATTCAACATAAAACAGGAAATCATAAAAATCCAGCCAGTCATGTCTTCCCTCCTGAGGCTCACAAAGGAATGCCCCCTGCTCTCCCAAGCACCTCAGTTTAAAGAGTTAAACACTTCCAGAAAAGCAGCAAATCTGGGGCTACTTGGGACTGGGAGGAAGAGAATTCCAAACTGTTCCTTACTCGGGTCTCTTCAATCTACCAGTGGCCCCATCCCTTCAGGATTTGTCTAGATGGGGAGATCCAGGAAAATTAATCTGAATTAAGAGAATTAATTAAACCACATTCATCCCTGTGTGAACCCCCTCATTCAGAATGAAAGTGCCCTTAATTCAGTTTATCTTAATTCACTTCCAAAGTGCATTAAACTACACCAAATGAAGGCCACTTTAATTCCAAATAACAGCATCCACATAGGAATTGAATGTGGTTTAATTAAAATTCACACCTTCACTTAATTCAGATGAATTTTCCTGGATGTCCCCATGTAGACAAGCCCATAAACTGAAGTGGAGTTCTAACATACGCTCTTCTGCTGGTCACAATGGAGGCATCCTGGCACATGCAGAGAGGTGTCCCAGGACAGATGGCCCCAGGCCAATTAGGACTTGATAGGTCAAAACCAACACCTGAAATGGCAGGCAGTGAAGATCCCAGAGCATTGGCGTGGTGGGATGGGGACCCGTGATGGCTTATAACAAAGGAGCTGATGCGCTCTGCGCTAGCATTAGCCTCTGAGTGGGTTTAAGGGAGAGCCCCCATAGAGCACTCTGCAGTCATCCAATCCAGAGGCAAGGAGTGAGTTACAACAGTGAGAGTCCTAATGTGAAAGAAAGGGGCACAGCGCTGTAACCAGATAGAAATGGGAAAAAGCCACCCTGGCTACTGATGCTGTTGGGAATGTAACCAGACCCCCAAACTGTGGGCATCAGAACAAGCAACGGACATAAACCGTCCGGTAGAACCTCAGCCAAATTCCCTGCTTGCTTCCTCCCAGCCCATCACCCTCACCTCCACTTCATCTCAACTCTCAGCAGCCCTCTGTGAGCTGGACAAGTCAGATATTAGGTGGAATGTCACTGCCAGGTGTACCCTCCCTTTTGCTATAGCCTTGCCACATCCTGCCCCAAGGAGAAGAGCAGAAAATAGGTCCTCCAAGCAGACTAGAGAGGCTACTTCTGCTGCAGCCA